GTGTGTGTGTGTGTGTGTGTGTGTGTGTGTGAGTGTGTGTGTGTATGTGTGTGTGTGTACCTTCGTCGTCGTGAAGTCACCTACATCTCTACCTCTCTCACAAGTCCCACTCTATACTTTTCTACCTACGAAACTGGCTCGCTTGCCATTTCCCCATCATAGCCCCGTTGTCTCCATAATTTTGTCCTGGCCTGTAAAGACCAGAACCCAGTACAGCCATTGGTGTCTTTACCTTTTGATAAATGGACGTGCCTGAAGCTCATGAATATTCATTTCTTCGCACATGAATACCACGTGACCTCACTCAAGCTTGGCATGGCGACCAGGGGTGGCAAATCTCGCTACAGCCTGAGGCCTAAGACATGAGCCTGATTTATAAATAAATAATCAGAAGGACAAATCTATTCCTTGAAAAGATAAATACGTAGGCCTGACACGGCTTTCAAGGAAATATTTATTACAGGACAAATGGTATACTTGTGGGTAGAACTTCCAAGAACAGATCGGAATAGACTTTGGCGTCTGCGGCTTCCAATGATCAACGATTAACTGCTTATACCCTTAGGCAGAGGACACTTTCCCCAGCAAGGACTTAATCTCGAGGCTTCAGCCTTCTAAAACTCTGTGGTTTATCGAAGGACATCTTGACCGTTTCAGACGAAACACAGACAGTGGATTGTATATGACATTTTTAATTCAGAATTTGTGGTCTTGCATTTTTTAAAGTAAAAGGTAAGGTATTTTTTGTCACACACATCGTCTTCCTTGTACAGATTTTTACTTTAGGTATACTTTGGGATTGTGTATTGTTTTTATGTACGTTTGTGCGTATATATTTGTTTGCTTTTTTATATGTGTATATAAATGTATTTAATAATGTCTTAGAGGTATGAAAAAGAAAGGGAGGGGGAGGAAGAGGGAGCGAGAGAGAAACAAGGAGAGAAAGAAGGAAAGAGATAGAGATTGAGAGAGAGAGAAAGAGAGGGCGATAGATAGATAGACGGTAAGACAGATAGATATATAGATATATAGTGTGGGGGTGGGGGCCAGCAATATTTAGGCGGCTGCCCCTACCCCGCCCCCCCACACACAATCTAATATGTGACTTTACTATTATTTTACACATGGAATCTCATTTAACACCCTTCGGCGATTAAACCAAGCAAAGTGGATTTACATCAAGAAAAATACTCTTGAAACAAACTGAATCCACTGTAATTTGTCGCTTCGGTGATTTGGATACAGGATGCATATTTGTGCACGATTAAACTCTGAAAACGACGAGCTAGCAAAGAGAAAAAAGAAAGAAAGAGAAAAAGAAAGAGAGGGGGCGAGAGAGAGAGAGAGAGAGAGAGAGATAGAGAGAGAGAGAGAGAAAGAGAGAGAGAG